TATATATGAGGAATGTTATATTTACAAACTACACTAAGTCTGAGTGTATGACCGGTCTTATTTAGTGTAATTTGTAAAAAAAATTATAAACGGATCTTTTTCATATATATATATGGGATAAATATTTCTACATTCACTTTATATAAAGTTATCTACAACTGTCCTTTTTTAACTAAGTTTGATCGATCATACATACAAATTCTATTTTTTCTCTCCGCCACGTCAGCCGACAATGTCTTAGGAGGGAGAGAAAAAGAACAACTTTATTGTTATAACTATGTATGACCAGTCAGACTTAGTTAGTTAAAAAGGAGTAGTTGTAAATAACTTTATCTAAAACGGCTGAAGAAATATTTTTCCCTATATATATATATATATGTAGGTGTTTACATTTCTGCAATAAGTGCAGCAATCAAATACATGCCATATACATACGTGAAAGCATTAAATGCGATGAATCATAACCATACAAAAGATAAAAGCATTAAATGTGAAAAATCATAATCATACACTTGTCGTTACTTACGTAAAACTACTGCAAAAATAATTTTATCAAGCCGGCTATTGAAGCCCATAACTCACTAGACGACCCCAAGAACTAGGGCCAAAGTAGTCAACCGATTCACATTCCCCCTAGAAGATAAGCTCATACCCACTATGGAGCATGACATAGCGCGTGATCAATCACTTAGCAGTGTGGACTTTCGACTCAGGCAAACTCAACTAGGCTCATCAACGCCTAAACTCAAAATAGCTCAAAGTCTGTTTGGATCCTCTCTTTTTTTAAGTTAGAAGTTACTTATAAGCTAAAGCTAAAAAAAAAAACTAACAGCTGTTGTGTAATTACATAAAAAATTTAGCTTAAAGGTTACTTAAAGACACATATTTCAAGAAAACTATATCTCTCTATCTCTATACTTTTTCATTTAACAAAAAACACAGAATTCAATAAAAGCAGATAAGAGCTTTAAAAAAAGCTCCTCCTAGGAGCTTTTAGCTTTTAATTTTTTTCTTCATTATAAAAAAAAGTTTTTCATTATAAGAGCTTTTCTCAAAACTTTTTTAGCCTAGCTTGTGCTTATATGTAACTTCTAACTTAAAAAGAAGAAGATCCAAACAGACACTTAGTATCACAGTCCTATAGATCGTGCTATCAAACTTTTGAATTGGGGGACAATTGTTTTAGACTCAACTAATAAGTCTTATAGACTTTAGAAGATAAGAGCCTAAGAGTGTGTTTGGTAGAGGTTTTTTTATAGAGATAACTAGGCAACCTATTTTGGATTTAGAACTTGCCCACATTTGGTAGAGGAGTTAACAAAATTTAACTAGGGAAATAGTTTGCCTAGCCTTTGTGTTTTCTTTGCAAAATTTTTTGTTTTCCACTGTTTCAGAAACCCATATCCAATGTGGTATTTTTTTGTTTACCCATGCAACCAAAAAATAGCATGAACCAGTAGACGAAAATGACCTTAAGCTCTTCTACCTCTATTCAAAAGTTAAAAAGGTTAGTTTCGTTATTTTAACCAATTATCCCATCATTATTTTACCTCTACCAAACATAGACTCAACAAATTTAACTCAATTTTCCCAGTAATATTTCATCCTACCAAATAATTTTTTTTAAATTTTCCTATCAAAATCATTTTCTCTCCATTTCCCCACTAATCAAATTTGCCTAGTTTAATTTTTTTTCTCCTCTACCAAACGCCCCCTAAATTAATCTCGATTCAAAATACATACTAGGATACTGGGCCTTATCCATTAGGTAGTGTTTGGTACCCAGATTATTTATGGATGCCCTGGAAAGCATGGGAGAGAAAACAAGAAACCCGTGTTTGGTTGTTCAAAAAGTTAAAATTTTCTTAGGAAATGTTTTTGTCCGGATTTCTTGATTGTGTGCAAATTGAAGTAAGAACACCATTGTTCAAACTCCATAGTTTAGTTGGAGAAATTGATTGCCCAGGGAAATAAGAAATAAACAACTATTAGGTGGACGAGATTAACCCTGTGCTTTGTACCATCGATGAAGTTGTGTTCGCAAATATCTGGTGACAAAACCTACGGCAGCTGCCCCCTCCTTCAACGCTTCTGGGTCTTCGTTTTCCATGGCTTGCATGTGCATTTTTTATGGTACGAGTCGGTGGAGCATTTTGTATGTTAACCATATCCATATTTTAAAAACACAAACTTTCCGTTTTGCATTCCGTTCTATTTCATCATTTAGTTTTGGGGCTCTTGTATTTTAAAAAGCCAGCTACACTGAAAGCAGCTGATGAGAGAGAAAAAGAGAGAGATGGATGGATAACAATACAAAAACGAAAGAGATGATGGCCAAAGTAACGCATCCAGAGAAAAATTAGTCTAAAAATCGATGAGAGAGAGAGAGAGACTGTTATGATTATTCAAAATTGAGGGTATAATTGTAAAATAATCATATATTCCTACTAATATTTTTCACGATCAACCAAACACAAACTCAGTAAAATTAACCAAATATTCCCGGGAAAATATGAGTCTATCAAACAGCTTTTTAGTAATATTATAGTAAAAATTTATTTTCCAATATATTTATGAAATTTATGATTCTGGGATAAAAAACAAGTTCTCCTCTATCAAACGCCTCCTTTGTTTGTATCCTACGTAAACTCCCCTACCTTCATATAAACTCTATACATACATAAAAGATTAAACTCCTCTGGTATGCAAATTTGAAATCCTATCATCCTTTTATTGTTATTATGTATCACACTACCGAGCCTACACGGTGATTTGCTTTAAGGATACACAAAATAAATAAAAATTTGAATCGAACAGTGAATCGAACTGAACTACACTTAAAATAACTAATTTTTAAAAATCAGTTCATGAACTGAATCATTTTTGAACGTCAATAACCGAATCATTTTTGAATCAAACTGGTTTTTATTACTTTATTTTTTTAATTTTTTTAATTTTTTTTCGAAGAGTCGACTCTAACCGATTCTGAACTGAACCGAATCATTTTCGAATCGAACCGAATCAAATCATTTAAACTAATTCGATTCTATTTTTGAGAGATTCAATTTAATTTGACCTATGCCACTTACCACTAAATAACAATACTCAATGTTGTTTTCACTAAATAGTTACACAACACAAATAACTAGATGGTAAAAAATGTAACTTACCACAAAAATGCGAGTCAATATTATGTCCGTGGGTTGATATGCAACAAGACATGGATTTTTGTGTAATTTTTTATTTAACATAAATACTACGCTAATGTGAACGCGGGTTAATTTGAATATAAAAGTTATTATGTCATATTCATATTGTGTCAGTGAAATCGTGTAAGGAATTACCACCTCCAATTATGCTTCTTACTAGTTTTTATTTGCTTTAAATTTATAAGTAACTCTTTATAGTCTATACCTTTTTTATTACTACTTATGGGGCGGGAAACGAAAAATTAGAAAGCGGGTTGGAAGGAATTCCATTGGTAGAATATGGGTCTTCCCTATTTTAAAATATTTTAATATTTTTTCTTCAAATTATTCCTTTATTGAGTGCTTTGTGTGTGTATAGCTCATATGAACAAACCACGATTTTTTTTTCTTAGAATATTAGGGTCGTATACCGTTGAAAATTGACAATCACAAATATTGTAAACGAAAAAAAAGAGAGAGAATAGACTGGTTCACTCAATTTAGACTACGTAGAACTTGTCCATATTATATTCACATCATCGCCCCTCGTTACAAGTCACTCGATTTATAAGAAAAATATAAATAAAATTAAAAAAATCCTAACAGCAACTATTCATGAGTCAAACTCAAACTACTAAAAAAAAAGAATAACAATATACGAAATATGAATCATACCGCAAGACATACTAGTGTGGACCTGTGATTTGTTTCTATATTTTTTCTTCTGTAGCTCACACATGAAAATAGTGCTGGATAATTTGTTTTGATTTGTCATTTCCTGGTCGATTTCAGGCGTTGAGAGTTAATAATTTTCTGCTATTTTTATCTGGCGTTGATATGCTTGATATGTGAACTTAAAAATGGCCAAGTGATGCTATTTTTTTTTTGGTAATTATAGGAAGTGAACTTAGTCCTAAGAATCTGGCCAAGTTCTTTCTTTTATTTCCTTTTCTCTGTTGATTTCTTACAAATGGGTTATGAATTGCCAATGGTGGCGGAGCCACATATATTCTAGGTGTGGTCCTCGTCCGAGCTAAATTTTAATAAATTGTATTTATTATATATAATTATATAATTAATTATAATTTGGTCCATGTTAAAATTATAATTTGGCCGTGACTATAATTTGTAATTTGGCTCTATCTAAAATTTAAAATATTTTTCAAAAATATTTTTAGTAAAATTAAAAAATATTTAATAAAATTATAATTCTTCTTGGTACTACTTGTTCAGATGCTCTGCATTTAATATAATTTAAATGGAGAGACTTATATTTATAAATTTTCTGTTTACAAATTACACTATATATTCCTGAAAGGAGAGACTTATATTTATAAACTTTTTGTTTTTAAACTACACTATATACTCTCGGAAGTACAATAGATTACATTATATATTTCCGGAATTATATGGTATAATTTACAAAAATTTGTAAAAAAAAAAATTGTAAACGAATTCTTTCCTAATTTAAATATATTATAATATGAATTAATTAAAATTAAATAAAATGAATACACGTAAAAAAATTTTTGACCGGGACTCAAATTTGAACACACCTCCGCCCGCTCAATGGGTTGTATCTGAATTTGTTGTACAAACTTTAGGAAGGACCAAAAAAACTAAAATAAAAGAAAAAGAAAAAAGAAAAAGAAAAAAGAAAACCCATTTGTTTAATTGCCTATATCAGATTTGAGCGCAGTGAAGATTCAACAGGATCCCACTAAATTGAAGGATCAGTTATTAGAAAATCAGTACTTCACTTTTCCAAATTTCACGGCTATATTTAACCATCAAAATTGTGGAGCTTAAAAATTAATCGAGCGGCTTACAGTCTCTCAATCGCTTAAGATCATCAATGAAGGCCGTCAAATTCTTGTGGGACGATCCACCTTCTTGAACAGCTTCTCTAGCCTTTTTTCCAAACTCTTGAGCGCGCCGTCTGATAATGTCAGCTTCATCACCACCGTCCATCAACCCCCTCACTGCTTCCTCTATGCGATCCCTGCCCACCAATTTTTCACAGTCCGCAAAACCAATCACTGTCCACTCCTCTGCTCCCACCTCCACTCCAATACCCCGCACTTGAGTTATCAGCTTCTCGTTGTAGAACTGATCGCTATGCACCGGCCACGTGATCATCGGAACACCAGCGCTGACGGCCTCCACGGTGGAGTTCCACCCGCAATGCGTCAGGAAAGCACCGACGGCGGGGTGGCAGAGTATCAGCACCTGCGGGGCCCATCCTCTGATAATCATCCCTCTCTCTCGATTCCTTTCCTCAAACCCCTTTGGTAACCACTTGTTCTTCTCCTCCTCGCTCTCGTCCTCTTTCCCTTTCTTCGCATGAATCACCCATATGAAATCCTTACCTGATGCTTCTATCCCGCATGCCATTTCGTACAACTGCTTATCAGGGGAATAGCAAATGGTCCCAAAGCATATGTAGAGCACCGAGTTGTCCTTCTTTGAGTTAAGCCAACTCAGGCACTCGTGCACGCTCAACACGCTCTTTTGGCCCCTCTCTGCTTGCTCTTCTGCTGTTCTGCAAATAAGAGAGGCTGGGCCAAGATGCCATGCCTTGTGACCCGTGTTTTTCTCGTAATGGGTGACGTACTCTTCTCCGTCAAGCTCCACGAAGTTGTTGATGATAAACCCATTGCTTTTGAGCGCTACAGTGAGCAGGGGATCAATGAATTCCTTGGAGACCTTGGGTGGTGTTGCGTTGAGGGTGATATGGTGAGGAAAATCTGGAATCACAAATGAACCGGTGGAATCATCGATGGGGTGTGCCTTGAGAGATTCCATGGCACAGATGGTAAAGAGGGAGAAACCATTGAAGGCCAATCTGGGGATGTGAAACTTGTTTGCCAAATCATCCACCCACGGGTACAAAAAGTCCGCTACGATACAGTCGGGTGGGTCTTGCTCCACCAAATTCTCGATGGGTTCTTGGGGTAGCAAGTTGGCCTCGTACATCCTAACAGAGTTGTCGGTGTCAGTGGCTGAGGACATGCTTTCGGCGCCGTCGGGGAGGCCCACTTCTTGGGAAGGGAATTGGAAGGTGTGGACGCGGAAGTTGTTGGATTTGTGATTATAAAGGATTTGGGCATTGGAAGGAGTGGTGATGATGGTGACGTGATGGCCGCGTGAGGCGAAGAGTCTGGCTATGTCGGAGAGAGGGATTATATGTCCGGCTGCTAGGTATGGAATGGAGTACAGTTTGAGTGGCCGTTCTTCAACATCCATTGCTGTGGCAGAGTGAGACTGTGCTAGATAGACCTGCCTTTTGCTTTTTTTGCCTTTTCATTTTCCTTTGCCTCAAATTCTCTAGTCTTTATACATGAAAACAAGTTTGAATAAGCCAAAGGATGTTTCGGATTTTCATCGTTGTTCATTCTTAGAGAACACCGACGAAGGTTGGTAACATAATTTTTTGACACGGATTTTATTTTTAATGTTTTTTATTTTTTGGGTGACATGTTCTTTGTTATTAGTGAGTTTTATACGAGTATCAGTAAAGAGAAATAAATTAGTTCAATTTATTTAATAAAAATCACTTAACATTCTTTTAATGAAAAAACCTGCGTAAAAATTTTTGGATTGATAGCCATTCAGAATAACCGTACCCAGAAAAGTTTGAACAGCAAAAATATAAAACATAAAAGTGGATTAGATGTAGCCGGTTTTCCCTGTGTATTTTGGTATCAATAGGGCGGAATGTAACATGTAGATTGATATCGATTGTGTTTCAATTTTTTTATTCTTAAAATTATTTTATAAAATAGTTAATGAAATGTGTGTTTGTTATATTTTTTTAAAGTTAAAAATCAAAATATAAATAAAAAATAATTAAATATATTTTCTAAATTTAATTTCTAAAACAAAAATATTGTTATAATTTTTAAAATTTTATTTATAAAATAGGCCATATCGAACCAGGGTTTTTTTCTAAATAAAAAATTATTTTTCGAAATAACTTTCCCTGTTATATGCACATTTTCTGTTCATATAATATAATATAACATACCCTCAACTCTACCTAGTACTATGCCCAAGGCATATGCACATCGTCAAAGGTGGGAGAACAAGGGGGTTTTGTGTAATTTTATGTTGTGAATATATAATCATAAAAAATCATCGTCCATGCTTCTGGCATATTTAGTGATAAATTAAAGGGTAGGGTTTGATTGTGTTCTTACTTAAAATTATTACCAATATTTAATTTTGATAAATATTTTCTTGTTAATTTCATTAAGAATATTTACTTGTGTCAACTGTCAAACATAGGTGAAGAGATAGCCCGTTGCTCAACTTAACACACTCTCGCCAAATTTTATTGTTATGCTCACTTGATCTAAATTTTTACTTTAACATTTAGTAAGTACAACTTTTTTTATTCTCTCCATAATAGAAAATGAACCCAAAAAAATACGTAAAGATTGAGAAAAAAATAAATAATAAATAAAATGATAAAAAATAAACTATATATATATATATATAAAATATTAGCCATACAAAAGTAGTACACAATTATAAGAAAAGAAAATTAAAAATAAAATACAAATAAGAATATACAAGGGGACCTAAAAGAATAAGATGGTAAGAAATAAATAATAATTAAATAAATAGATATATATTAATTGGGCAATGCATTTATGATGTTATCGGAGAAAAAGATAGTTTCTTACACTCAAAATCATGATAGGACCCACATATAAAAAAAAACAAAAAAGTTATGCGAATTACTTCTCTCATGTAGTATAGTATGAAAGAAGTTTTCTCATTTTAAGAGATAAATAAAGTGAGCTCTACCAACTTTTAGAAAAAAAAAAAGAGACACATTTTTTGAAAAGAGAGTCAGATGAGAGATTCATCTTACATAAGAATATGATTTCCCAAAAATTATTACACATAAGACTAACTTTACGCACTAGCGTGAGAAACAGCTCTCCTACATGAGAATTCTTTTTCACATGATAATCATACAAGGAAGTTAACACAAGAGAAAAGGAAGTGCACGGAGCACTCAGCTTACGGTAAAGATAGGAAAAGAAACCGAAGATTTGACCAGCAAAAATCCAAATTTTACTGGCAAATTTATTTTTACTTGTGGGACATAATTAATAATTAAGAGATGCACAGTCTCGCAATCGTTTAAGCTCATCGATAAGAGCCGTCAAATTGTGATGGGATGACCCACCTTCCTTAACAGCTTGTCTGGCCTTCTTCCCAAACTCCTGAGCACGCCGTCTGATTTCCCGAGCTTCATCGCCACCGTCCATCAACCTCCTCACAGCCTTCTCTATGCGATCTTTCTCCACAACCTTTTCTCTATCCCCAAAACCGGCAACGCCCCACTCCTCTACACCCACCTCCACCCCAATACCCCGCACCTGAGTTATCAGCTTCTCGTTGTAAAACTGTTCGCCCATCACCGGCCACGTGATCATCGGAACCCCCGAGCTCACAGCCTCCACGACGGAGTTCGACCCACAATGCGTCAGGAACGCACCCACGGCGGGTTGGCCCAGTATCAGCACCTGCGGGGCCCACCCTCTAATGATCATCCCCTTGTTCCTATTCCTCTCTTCAAACCCCTTTGGCAGCCACTTGTCCTTCTCTTCATCGCTCTGATCTTCGTCTTCCTCTTTCCCTTTCTTCTCAGGAACCACCCATATGAATCGATGCCCAGCTTGTTCGATTCCGCATGCCATCTCGTACAGTTGGTTATCCGGTAAACGACACATACTCCCAAAGCATATGTAGACCACCGAGTTGGGCGGCTTCGAGTTGAGCCAACTCAGGCACTCATGCTCACTCTCTTGATTGCTTCTTCGCATTAGAGAGGCTGGGCCAATATGCCAAGCCTTGTGCCCCGTTATTCTCTCGTAGTGCTGAATGTACTCTTCTCCGTCAAGCTCAGCGAAATTATTCACGATGAGACCATTGCTTTTCACCTCTATCCCCAGCAATGGTTCCATGAATCCAGTCATGGCCTTTGGTGGCGTCGCGCACATGGTGATATGGTGAGGAAAATCAGGAATCACGAATGAACCTCCAGAATGAAGTATTGGGTGTGCTTTAACGGACTCAAAGGCGCAGAGGCCAAAGAGGGTAAAAGGGTTGAAGGCGAGCCTAGGGATCCGAAGCCTGTTGGCCAGGTCAGCAACCCAGGGAATCATGAAGTCAGCGACGATGCAATCGGGTGGGTTGTTCTCCACGAAATGCTCGATGGGTCCCCGGAGCAGCCTGGCGGCTTTGTACACCTTGGCGGAGTTGGTGAGGTCGTTGACGGAGGACATGCTTTCGACGCCGTCTGGGAGGCCAACTTCTTGGGAGGGGAAGTCGACGGTGTGAAAGTGGAGGAAGGGATCGCCGGATTTGTGAAGAAGGATTTGGGCGTTTTGTGGAGTGGTGATGATTGTGACGTGTTGGCCACGTGAGGCGAAGAGTGTGGCTATGTCACATAGAGGGATCATATGGCCAGCTGCAAGGTATGGAATGAAGTGAAGTTTCAGTGGCCGTTGAAGATCAAGACCATCCATTGTGGTGGCTGAGGTATTCATCTTTGAATCTTTGTTTTATCAATGGACGAAGGGTGGGGGATATTTAATATTTTTGTCTAAACAAAGTTATTTCAATTATCGAGTTCCTTCTCTTATTTTATTCATAATAAATATATTAAAATAATTAGCATGTGCACCTTGCTATAAATTTTTTATAATAATCTGTCAATGCTCACGCAAACAATTTTTAGTTTTAATTTTTTTTATCTAACTTACTTTTTTATTATATTTTTAGTAATTAAGTCTTTTTAGTAAAAAAAAATTTCTCATCTGTCAAACGTCCTTTGAATAACTTAAAAAAATAAAGAAAAATACAAGTGTTATGTTACATAAAAATCTTCACCTTTCTACACACTCAATATAACATGAGACCCATTTCAATTTTTTTACTATATAATAGACCCATAGTGTTCTTGTGTCTGTTACGTGACAAACTATTATCCCAAAAATGAAAGGTAAAAACAAATATTACATTGTAAGAAATTTGATATGTGTTCGATTCCCGCTGAATGCATTCTTGGGGAGGGGGCTGAACCTTTAGCCATCACTGTTTCCCCGCACTCCGGATTAGTCTCATAGCCGGCTCAAAGAGTCGAAGCTCGTGGGGATACCGAAGGGAGCCAACTTGTCTCAAAAAGATAATTAGAATTGGGTAACTAAAAAAAGGAATTTAATAAGTCGTGCCCGGACATAATAGTTGGGGCCGGGCCATTGCATTTTTTTTAGAAAAATAAAAAATTAGAACTTCCCGTGAGTCAATGGGAAGAAGTTTGTTTCTCCGACAACTTGAGACTCACATTGCCCAAAATAAAAAGTATTCGAATACAAATTTTAAATACTTGAGTATATAACTCCATGAACAGTGAAATAAAGATGAATGGATAAATGTTTCAGTAGGAAGGCATAGTAGTTATATATATTTTAATCAGGCATACAATGGTTAAAAAAGATATAATATGAGATAATTTATTTCATACAATAAAAAAATAAGAAAAATCTATTAAGGAGAGAAAAAAAAAGTGGATCTTAATTATTTTTGTGTAAAATTTTATAATGGAACTTTCTAAGAAATTTATACTAATTTTTTGTGCCTATTTTGCTTTTTGGGTGGACGAAAAAGAGACAAAATTCATAAAATCCACTCACGTTTACAACTGATATTGACCACAAATCCCGCCCTGATGGATGGTCGTATATCAAACTTCCCATTTTGTAAACCATGATATCAGCGGCAGAAAGCACTATTATATGGACCAGTCCATTTATTTCCTTCGCCCAACCCGATTGAAACTACGGTAACCGAATCAAAAAAATAATAATTTAATAAATCAAAAATCAAAAATTAAAAAAAATTGTAAATTTTAATTGGATTGAATCGATTTTTGGATGGGTCGATGAAAACCGATCCAATATATTAATTCTCCACTACTTACTTGAGCCTTTCCCCAATCACAATCTAAAATTTTCTAAACCCAAGAACCATTAACCAATCAACTAAATCAAGAAAAAACTTAGTCACATCTCGTCAACAAAATTTTATCATTATAACTTCATATCTCATTGCAAAAAAAAAACTATATTATAATTTACTAATACTGTTGTATTTAAAAAAAAAATCAAAAGTCAATACATACAGAAGATGTTATTTGCACAATAATCATAAAATAAATTTTAGGATTTTCAAAAAATCGAAAATCGATTCAATCCAAACCAAAAAAATTTGAATTGAATTGGATCAAATCTTAAAAAAAATTCAAACCAAATGGATGATTATATGATCAAACCGAAGGGATTGAGTCAGATGATTTTTGCTTTCAAAACCGATTCAATTCAGATCGCGAACACCCCTACCTTCAATGGTATTTGTTTTGAGAGCGTTTTTTTTTTTCTCGATGTAGAATTAAAAAATTTTATTTTCTATCTGATTTTTGTTTATTTAATAATTATAATTTATTAAGTTGCATCAATTAATTAATTATTAAATTCAAATAAATTTAATTACTAAAATGGACAGAAATAAATGGAAAAATAGAGAATAACATTTTTAGTTTTATACCTCAATTAAAAGATTCCTCCTCATTTATTTATTTTATTATTATTAAAAGAAATAAAGTTTAAAATTAATTTAATATATTAAAGTAGTTTATCTTTTTCCGTAAGTGCAAGTTTTAATATTCTTTTATTTTACTAAAGGCTAATATAACTATTCATTCTCTTAATTAAATTCGTTAATTTAAATTATTAAATGAAAACAAAATTAAAAAGTAATCATTATTATCTTACAAAAATGTCAATATATATAATTTTAGTTTATGTTTTTTATTTTAATTAGGAAAGCATGCAAATAAAAAAGAAAAGAAGAAGAGGTGAATGCATATTTTATTGTAAGGAAGGTGCAGCTGGCGGGGAAAGGATGATTAAAAAGCAAAGCAGGAGCAAAATGGGAGATTTTAACGCGAATAAATAAAAAACAATAGAGTTAGGTAATAAAACAGCATCCGGTTTGGGTTATGCTGTTGGAAGAGCAAGAGCAAGAATAAGAGTCACCTCCTCCCACGGAAAAGCCCACATGAAAAATGCTAACCCAATCAGCACCGTCCAGGTAAGGGGTGCATATTGTAAACGAGGGCGCACGTTAGCCTCACCCCCCACCGAATCGGTGCTGCCCTCCTCCTCGTCCTATCCTGTCCACATCTCAAAATCAGCCGCACACCACATACCACCACCACCCAATATGTTACCAAACGCCACCACCACCAAACCTAACCCCCATTTTCCACCCACCTCTTCTTTTTTTCCTTTTTCTTCATTCCTTTTCCTTTTCTCTCTCTCTTATGGCTTCCCCCGTACACTCCACCCCTCCCACAGATCCACCCTCTGCCGTGCCCCTCGCACTCTCTGTCCCACTCCCAGTCCCACCCTCCTCTCGCCGCCTTCCTCCGCCGTGTTGGTCCCCTGACGAGACCCTCGCTCTCATCGACGCTTACCGCGACAAGTGGTACTCTCTTGGCCGTGGAAACCTCAAGGCCACCCACTGGCAAGAGGTAGCCGACGCTGTCTCCCAGCGTTGCCCCAATGCCTCGCCGCCCAAAACCCCCGTCCAGTGCCGCCACAAGATGGAGAAGCTACGCAAGCGCTACCGCACCGAGATCCAACGCGCTCGCTCCCTCCCTGTCTCTCGTTTCAACTCCTCTTGGGTCCACTTCAAGCTCATGGATTCCATGGAGAAAGGTCCCTCCCCTGTCAAACAAGAGAACGATTCCGATAATAGCCATGACGGAGATGCCGTTGACGACGACGGCGACGATGACGATGATCAAGATCTGTACGAGGAAATCAAGAACGGCCATGGATCTAACACGAGGAGCTTGAACAAATTGTATAGGAACGGGCTTGTTGGTTCTGGTGGCGGTGGCGGTGGGTTTAGGATTAGAATTCCGACTGGGTTGAACGTGGCGCAACCCGGGTCCAAGTTATTTGGGAAGGTTGGTGGTAATCAGAAATTCAACCCCAATTTGAATCACAACCCTAGCTCCAAGGTGTTGGGGAAGAAGAGGGAGAGGGACCCTGTAGGAGAGGTTGTGTCTGCGATTAAGGTTTTGGGAGATGGGTTCGTGAGAATGGAGCAGATGAAGATGGAGATGGCGAGGGAGATTGAGACCATGCGGATGGAGATGGAAATGAAGCGCACTGAGATGATTCTCGAGTCCCAACAGCGAATTGTCGAGGCCTTTGCCAAGGCCGTTTCTGAAAAGAAGAAGAAGCCAAAGAGAATACCATCGCCCCAACAACCTTAACATAGATCACGGAAGTAACATAATGTAAGTTTATGCTTTGTTGTTTGTTTAGTTATTGCTTTGCTGCTGCTTTTTGTAATTTTAAGATAATAAGACAGAGATGTGCAACTTGATTTGTTTTAGGTTGATGTTGGCTGAATCGTGAATGTAATTTTAGAGATTCATTTTCTACACATTATTTTCCTGCTACCATTTTTTAGTTTAAATAAAATCAGAGAGCACAATCTCTTGCCTTGCCACAATGGTTTATGTGCTTTGGATTTGTTTCAAGGAACAAGAACAAAGAAAGTAAGTTGGTATTACACCGTTAAACAAATGTCCTTGTTAAACCTGTTTTAAGATTTAAACAATGACGACCTTGAGTATCCCATTTTGAAATAAGAATATCAGGAATCCAGGATTGAGTCTATAAACAGAGGAAATGTACATTGGTTGTGTGGGTCTCTTGCCAGATGCATATTTTGAAGTTTTCTGGATTTCCCGTGAATGTTCTCGTCTTTTTTCCAGCATCTGCTGGGTACCGCTGTGTTCTTAATTTGAATTGTTGGAGTTGTTCTGGTTTAGATGTCACATTGGCCGCTGTGTCGTATTGATTTTGTTCCATGGAATACCCGTCTCCGTTGCGTTATAACAGCTGCTAGTCATTCTTGCATTTGCGAAACTTACAATGCAAGCTGTGCTTGCGTTTCATCCAACCTTGACTCCAATCGCTGTGATTGAGAAATATGGAATGAATGATTATCATCGATCCGTTGTTCAAGACGCATTTGTAAGGAACGAAGTTCCTCTGCAAGTTCCTGAACCCTCTGGTGGAGTTCGCGTGAAAGCAACAGTGATAAGAAGTGACCTGTGTGATACCCGTACGAAAGAAAGAAAGTGACGAAACCTCAAGGAATTCACACACAAACAAAGTGGAAACACAGAAATATACAATGGAAAATCAGCTTTACAGACACCAGTATCCAAAATGACGATGGTAATGACTGAAACAGCCTTAGAGACACTATGGTAACAGAAAAGACTCTACGAAAATGGCGACAGAGGGCTCCAACAGCATCTCTTTCCAACTCACTACCCCAATCAAATCAATTACAATTCACATAGCCACTCCCCCCATATTATCCTACCTTTTATCTCATTCTCTAGGAACTTTCTAGAAGAATTCCCTACCTAGCACACTAACTAACTCACTTTCAGGCCCATCAGAAAGGAACAAATGAATTATTATTTTCTCAAAGTGACTTCATAGTACGTACCTATTCCCCACTTATATATGTATATATGTACTTCCTACTAACTGACTTTCCCTACTTTTACGCAACTACTCAACAACCTACTTAACAACCCTACTTTATTACACTTGCAAATATACAATTCAATCCTAATCTACAAAGTTCTCTAAAGCTGATGGAAACTTCTTCCTTGTGGACATTCTGCATGTAACGTGCCATGCTTTCGTAAATGCATCAATGTAGTGTTTGGTTCGGGATAAATTTTTTTTTACTGGGAAAATGTAATTGATAGGAAAATGGTTGGAAAGTGAGTTTGATAGGAAAATGTAAAACAAGTTGTTTGGTTGACCTAAATATTACCGGGAAAATTTATTTAAATATGCAAAATCTATGTTCGGGAGAAACTTTGCACCTGTTTTTTCACTTCCCCAGTCATCTCAAAACACCACATTTCAAGTGGTATTATGTAACAGTGAATTCCATCCAAAAATCAACACAAAAGTTATTTTCCCATCTATCCTATTTGCCTGGTATTTCTTAAAAAAACCTGAACCAAACGTGGTATTTTTCAATATCCACCTACACTTTCCCATCAATCCTAAAATAAACCTTCAACCAAACACTACCCAAATGTTGTGGCAAAAGAAAGAATATATGGTGGAGGGTGCATTTCATTTACTCCGAAATAAGTGAATAAGGTGCATCAACTGTGATTACCTAATTATAGTTATTAGAAACTGAACTATAACTAACTAAAATAACCAACCAACAAATTTGGTAACTGTTAGTGAGGTGCAAGTTCTGATCACTGTATTAACTTGGAGATTTGAATATGCATTTCTGTGAAAGCTTGATTGATACAGGTTTATATGAACTACCCTCAGATCACACTGCAGATCCCTTGAGACCTTAGCATTGGAATCTGTTCATTGACAACCAAATGGTGCTTGTTGCGATGGCTCAAGGTGTTAGGGATGTGTTAGTGGGTAGTTTTGTTAGGAGATAAGCTTCGTAATAGTGGGTTATTTTATTTCTATTTAGTTTAATGGATGGTTACTAATTTGTTTCTACTTTGTCTATTTAAACTTTTATTATAAATGATCTGGGAATTAGATTTTGCACTTGTGTGCTTAAGGCATAGCTTCTTCAATAGAGCTCAATTTATTTTTCTACGAAAAAGGCTGGAGAGCACTGTATGTATCGGCTTGGTAAATATGGACTTGCGAGTAAAAGAATTAGAAGATGCATTTCAGACACTCTACAATCAACTCAAGGAGATGTTTGCCTAACTTTCCAATCAACTAGATGGTCTAGTTGTAAACCCAAACCGTCAAGAGGGAGACATTTCGTGAAGTAATTTTACCCATGCCCCATCATGTTCTCATTTTGCATCTGGGACAAGCAATGCATATGCTTCAAAGAGGGTAAAGTTTGATTTTCCTTTTGGGAAGGTGACAAAGGTCATGGAGTTAGACACCAAGCTAGGCACTGATCATTCTGACGACACAAAACCTCTTGGACAAGTGTCCAATCAAAAACTGTCCAAGAGGCCCCTCAACCAAAATCCCAAGTTTTTGGTTCAAATATGAGATACTTAAGGAGAGCTTTACTTCTAAAATTCCTTGAGAAGATGAAAGAAATGGTCATTTCTAGAGGATCCTTTCCAATTAAATAGGAATGGGGAGGCCAACATGGATATTGAAAATGATTCAATTACTTGATCTTACTTTTGAGTATAGAAATAATTTTTAAGAGGGAGGGAATGTTAAGGACGGAGGCGAACCTTGGAGTAGCGGTAAGATACTCCTTGTGACCAGAAGTTCAGGGGTTTAAGTATGGAAAACAATTTCTTTGTAGAATATAAGGGTAAGGCTACGTATAATCGACCTTCATCTCTATCCTTGCAAGTTAGGGAGCTTTACGAACCGGGGTTTACCCTTTTTTAGGGAATGTTAGAGGTATGTTCGTGGGTAGTTTTGTTAGGAGATAGGTATCATAATAACAGGTTGTTTTATTTCTATTTAGTTGTTGTAGTGACTGGTTACTAATTTGAATTTGTATTATAAATGATAAGAGAATTAGATTTTGCAGTTGTGCGCTACGTATCACAAGGAAGTAAATTTCGAAAGATGCAATCTATTAATGTTAGAGATGCTGCTTTGAACTTAATAGATGGGCTGACTGGTTAGCAAAAGAGGCTCTCAACAAGAATTGGGGTTTCTATCCTATCTCTTCGCCTCACCAGGAGCTGTTACACCTTATGGAAGCTGATATTTGGGATCCTGGAGACTTTTCTGGCAGCATTTGAGTTTTCTTGTTTTGCTTGTCTAGTTTCCTATTTTGTTTGTTTTCTTTCTGTCGCTTTCTTTCTTTGTTTTCTGGGCTTTTAGCCCCTGATTGTATAAAAAAGAAAAAGAAAAAAAATGATGCTGCTTTGAAAGAAGATTGGTAGACTTGTGATTTGCTAGCTAGTTGTGTTGCATTTAATTGTTAGTGCCTATGTAGCACCGATACTGACACGTGACACGATACGACACGACACTCCGACACGTTAATTCTAAAAAATGTTAGATTATGACACGTTAGGACACGTTTTGATATTAAATAATATTTTTAATTTATGTGGTGTATATTATATTTAATATTCAACAATTTAATAAAAAAATAATCTAAACTTATAATATTAATAAATTTTGCAAAAAACATAAGATATCTCAAATATTTATATTAAACTCAATAAAATAGTAATCGAAATCCAACTAATCTAATAGTTGGAACTAAAAACTCAACGCAATGTAACCTTTAAACCTTTTTTTGAATTTCTATAACGTGTGTTGGAGTGTCGGGGAGTGTCGGAGTGTCCGAGAGTGTCGGGAAGTGTCGGACACAACACGTCAGGGTTTTTGAAGTGTCGGTGCTTCATAGGTTAGTGCATGTTTGACATATTTTATTTTAAGTTTTTTTCTCTCCTTAAAAGTAAAAATTTAATTAAACATAATTTTATAAAAGCTCTCCTTATAAAAAAGGTTTTATATAATAAAGAAAAAATTAAAAGTTAAAACCTCTTAGAAGAATTTTTTTTTTTTAAATATCTATGCGAGTATTTTTGGAATTTTTATATTTATTTTATGTTTTTACCCTTATTTTAAATATTTATTTATAAATTTTTATTCTTTACCCTAATAATTCATCATGATAACATTATTTCATCTCCTTTCCTTTGAAATCATCATACAACTTTATATCATTCAAAAAGCTTTTACTTTATTTTTATTTTTTAACTTCAACTTAAAAAATAGTTTTTTGCTTAAAAAAATATGTGCCAAATAGGTGCCTTTTTGGGAAGTCTTATTTTTATCTTATTTTTTCTTATAAACATAAGCTTAGCTAAATATATTTTTATAAAAGCTCTTATTATAAAAAGAAATTTTTGTTATAATGAATAAAAAAACAAAAGCTTAAAGCTTCCAAGAGAAGCTTTTTTTAAGATATATATTAGCTTCTAACAATTCTCGTATTTATTTTTTAGTTTCACCTTTATTTGAAATTTTTATTTATTAATTTTACTCTGATTTAAAAAGTTTCTCGTGTCGAAGGAGATGAAATCATCTCCTAAACTAGTATATAATTTTTTTTGGAGTAAAGTCATTTTTGGGTCCTTAACAAAAAATACGGTCTCCACTTTCGTTTCTTACAAAAAAAAAAATTCATCTTTGTCCTTTTTTAGGGACTAAATTGGCTCTTCATTATTTACAAAAAAAAAAAAAAAATTGGCTCTTCATTGAATTTATGAGAAATCACATTTTCAAAGAACTGTAATTGTAGTGAGACCAAAGTTAACTTTTGTAATTGTAGAGAGACCAAAAGTTAACTTTTTTTTAAGGGACTATATGGTGGGGATCGTGTTTTTTTGTTAGGGACTCAAAATAGGCTTTACTCTTTTTTTATCTTCTACATACACACTATATAGTGTGTTACGACCTATGTGGGTTCATGTGAGGAGAAAAGAGAAAAATTAGGTCTCACATATTTTTATGTGTATATATGAGATAAATTTATCTCTTACAATATAAATTTTTTTAAATCCTTTAACTATTTACCTTAATAATTCATTCTAATAACAAATTATTTCATCTTACTTCTTTTAAAACCATCATATTAGCTTTGTGTAATCAACAATTAGCTTTCAGCTTTATTTTTAAGTTTTTATTTTATTTTAACTTAAAAATAGCTTTTAACTTTAAAAAAACCATTCAAATAAGCTCTAAAGAGTATATTTTCAAACGCATTTTATTCTATTACGTACTGTTTGCTAAATTTTGGATGAGCTAACGCATTTTATTCTATTACTGTTTTCTGATTTTTGGATGAGCTAATTTAACAAATATCATTTGGGGAAACCATTATGGTACTTGCATAGTCTAACATGCAGGAGGAAAGAAAAAAAAAAAAAAAGAGTAAATATCATTTTTTGTCCTCAGCAAATTTTACGATGTCCCATTTAGTCCCTAAAAAATAAAAAGGTTCATCGTGGTCCCTAAAAAATTTAAAATGGACCCATTTAGTTGAAATCGTGGTACCTCGCCAATTCAAAAAAGACCCATCTTAGTTCTCAAAAAGACTAAAATAGGTTCATTTTGAATTTTTTAGGGATCACGATGGGTTTTTTTATTTGCTAGGAACTAAAATGGGTCTCGTGAAATTTGGTGAGGACCAAAAAGAGTATTTACTCAAAAAAACAATAAAGAAAACAACCCAAAGTGATTCTTTTAAGGGGAGTAAAATAGATAGATTATATTAACTCAAATTTTATTGTTGTAAAAACTGGATTTAGATGGAAAATTCACATGGGAAATAGGAGATAAAAAAAGGGGGGATTTTTTTTTTTTAACTTTTTCCTATATTTTATATAAATTAGGCTCTTCTAATGTGATTTGTGTAAGTCTACATGTTAAACAATTATATATTGATAATAATGGTGTATAAATTGTAAGAATATAGTTTCTCATATTACATGAGATAAAATTATCTTAAATACATACACAAAAAAAAATAGGTAATATTCACTTATTTTCTTTCTTTCTCTCCTCCTTAATAAGTCACACCCATTTTTTTGGTATGTACATGAGACAAATGCAGCGTAAGAAACATAAATTATATATTCGTTTAGTTTATATAACTTGTTTAGACTATATCTATGCAAGGAATTCCTTATTGGAAGTATGGGACTAGATTATTCCTTTGAGATTTTGTGAGTACGCTTTTCTGAGCTAAATTATTCTGAAAATATTGTGGATTCATTGACTGGAAGTGATGTCATGCATCAATTTCTGCTAACAAGATTGGAGGGGAGAAATAAAAATTAGCGATGCCGAGTAATTTATTTGGGTGAATAATTTCTGTAAGATTCATATTAATGCATGTCTCTATCAAAATCGTCACCCAATAAAACATCAGAAGAAGTATAAATTTTCTTATGCTTAAGGAATATGCCTTGGTAATTGTCGGCCAAGGCATGGGTTTACGGATAGATGTTTGTTATTTTTGTCTTACTTAAGATAACTTGCTGTCCTCTCGTGTAGATGTTCTTCCCTCGTTGGTCAACATCCCTTTAGTTTAGTATTGTCTAATGTCGGAACTAACAACCTGGTCAATGGGTTTACCAATGATCGGTACATTGGGGCATCAGTCACTCTTCATCTTGACTCACTGAACCTGTTCCTTCGCATCTTGAGGGTGCGAGACAGGGATATACTTACTTCATGGTTAACTATATTTGTCATCGTTAAATCGTCATAAAATTAGTATAAAATGACCTTGAAATAAAATAATCATATTGAAAATAATAACTAAGAATTTTTTGGTTTTTATACGTGACATTTATCTCTTTATTATGTTAGGAAGCTCTTATGGACCTGACAAAGGCCCATATTCTAGAAAGACCAATAAAGGATAACACAAAGGGAGGGGAATCTCCTATTGATGACGATCCTATCCAGAGAGCTAAGCAGTTAGACTTGGGGCCCCCAATATTCCTAAGAGGCCCAGAAGTACCCTCCTTCAGGTAACCCATCTATAAATACGGGGTCAAACCAATAAGGTACACACTCTCTAAACCCTCTCTCTTAGCTTGTCATTGTGCACACACCCCACGCCTTGACTATGTCGATATTATTGTGCACAGTGATCAGCCTACCCTCGAGGGTATCTTATTCATAAATACCTGAGAGAGGGCACCTAGATCCTACCTACATAAAATATACCAGCCACCGGTTGGACATCTTTGTCTTTCAGACAAAACATTGGCGCCGTCTGTGGGGAAGATAAACTTCGATTCCCACCCAATAATGGTGAAAGCGCAGTAGCCGCCGCCGCATCCAAATCCTAATACGATGGGCAAAAAGTACATAAACAAAAACAATCAACTGTTCAAGGCGAATCAGAGTTCGCAATCCGAGATATGAAAGCCAATCTTGATGAAACCGAGATCAAGATTATGACCACCACCATTGTCGGGATCATGGCCGAAATTGAGATCTATGATCGTGACTGTGGTCGAGATCATGGCTAACAAAAAAAAAGGAGCAAATCAAGGAAGGAGTAAAAACTAAGTTTTCCTCCTTTGTCTAAATTTGTTTTTCAAATAAAGGATCCACCTTTTTAAATATTGGAGAAAAGTATCCATCTTTGTGAAATTATATTAATATATAAATAAAAAAGGGGGTCATCTTTCCTCGATTGGCAAAATATTTTAAAATAAAGGAAATGATCCATTATATTAATAGCCTTGCTTTTAGCCATATTTGATTGCAATCTGAATGGGATTAAATGGTTGGAATGGTGCTATGCCAATTATTATGTTTTTAATTATTCATTGCATCAGTTGCTAAATTAATGGCTGATTGCTAAAATGTTAGTAATTACAATAATGTCTTATTTAGTACTGTTAAATTATTAATTGATTATAAATCAATTTTTGATTTTAATACATCCTTCAAATTTTGATGGTCGGGATCCAAAACGTTTATCTACATGACTACTAAAGGAAAAGACAATTGATTAATTTTGATGGTCGGGATCCAAATTTTGATACTTGATGAGATAAGCAGATCATTTTTTGTGTGTGCTATCTTTACATAATTATTTTCCCAATATGACGTATAGAAACCAGCTCATAAATTACTGCTTTATTGCATATAGCTACTAAGCATTTTATTTTTTATAGAAAATATTGATATGCAGAAACAGGTTGGGAAAGTTGATTGTTATGGATATGTTTAGCACTGCAATCACAATACCAACAACTACATCAAAATGGCATCCCGAAGCCATACAAGACAAGATTCTCCGAGATCGAGATGGCACCTACGAGGCACCATGGCACATGGGCTAGATCGTGCAAATTTTTTATTAGTCTTAATAAGAATTGGGGTTTATACCTGGTGACG